AGGACACGCGTGCGCTCGTCAGTTTCGTGCAAATTTCATTACAATGGCGCATCGGAAAAACAAAAAATAATACTAAAATATGATAGTGATACCGGAGAAGCATACATTGGTTCAAATTTTGAAGTCCCTAAATGAAATAAATATAGAAAAATAGTTAAAAAACAAGAAGAAATTGTGCAAGGTGCTACGAAAAGCTAAGGCTAACATTGACTTCCTCAGAAGCAAAAAATAAAGTCAAAAAAATTAACACAGTCTGTTTCAAGTGTAATCAATATCTTTGCATAACATGTTACAAAGATAGGCATATCTAAATAAATTTTTGATAAAATTTTCTTTTGCTAATATTTAATTTTGGTATATCCTAATTATTATTATTTTTGGCTTTTGTGTAATTAACACATTAATAAGGCTTGGCTTGTGTTTATAAAAATTTAATACAATTAATGACTCGATATTTTCTTTTCTTTCACTATCCCATCACTACAAAAATTACACTTTAGTGCGGTATCGGGCCTTATCGACCTGACATTTTCGATTAGTAATTTCTCATGTTCTGTTTGGAGGATCCAGGGGCGAGGCCAATGTATAGACAAGTGAATTATGAGGATTTTAAAAGTATAAAAATTTGTAATGTACAATACGCTTTGATTAAGATAATAGACGTAAGATACCACCCGGAGGTGTCGGGTCGAAAGTGCCTACCACGCACAATAAAAAAGTCAAGTGGGTGCATTTTTGGACTGCCAACGCACCAGCTGAAAGTCGCTGTTTTTGTTTACGCAATGAACGTGTTAAGATTTTTCGAAAATCCTATTTATATAATTGTTTTATAACAGATATTATAAATGCAAAAGTTTATGAGTGCATGCGCATGTATGAGCCTGCATGCGTTATTGCATCTTTGCGTATGTGCTTGTTACCTATTTACGCTGTAAGGGCTCAATGGATTTGAGTAAAATTTAGATTGAAGATAACGTATATTCTTATAAGCTCCTTAAACCTCCTAAGCCTAATATCCTAATATAACGCATAAGCTACATGCAAAACCAATAATCTTTATATGTTCCTTAAAATATACTTCACCTGTCACTTGTCTTTTACTTTTTCTATCCCATTTTCATCTCTACTTACATATAAATCGTCAAAATAATAGATATCTCGAACAAATTGGCTTCGTAAATCCTTACGAATTTCGATAGATACAGGTATCAAATAAGAAGGCACTTAGCAAAATTCATGCCATGTTTGAACCTTTATATTATGTTGAAATTGCTTTTATTATTGTCACCTTGGAAATGTGCCATTGGGGATTGAAAATACAAGTTCTTTGAATTATAACATGTTCGTCTTACTATTAAAGGAAAAAATATAAAATCTTTCTTTCTAAAACTGTTTATGGTCTGTTAGGAATAGTGAAATTAAAGTTTCGGAAATCGAAGCCTGTTCGGGTACTTATTAACGTAAAAAACCTCTCCAACCATTTTGAATATAGCCACCTTTTTACTGGCTATAAGAACGTACCTACATGTGAATTCTCTATTCTTTTCACCTTTACATGCTTAAAGTTTGTGATGTTATGACATCGCCAACATCCCAATTCTGAGGTGCAACTGAGAGTATCTTAAAATAAATATTCAATTATCGTACTTTAAGGGATTTTTATTTTTCATTAGTTAGAGTTAGAAATATACCAATATTATGGCTTAAAGGAATAGAAAGAAAAATAAATTCGTTAATATTTTCGTAATGGCGCCATGTTGGATTTGTACGATGGTTTCAAAGGGCCGTTTCCAATCAACTCGAATGGTATTTGTTCTACAAATAAGTACAGATTTTACGAGAATTTTCAGTACCGCCATTAAATAAGTTACTGGATTAAGTTGTTTGTATTAGACCTAACATTAATTTTATAATACTTTGTGAGATCATGTCGGGGTCGTTACATTATGATTTTATTTATTATACCTTATTTTATTTATTATATATAAGTTATTCTGTAGTTTAACTTAACTATACTCGTACCGATAAAATTATACTAAACTTCATATAGTTAATGTTTTATAGTTTAATACTAATTTTGGAAAGAAAACATTTTTTTAATTAAACAGTTCAAATCTTATGAGGCGTAATTTTTTTGCCCTGACTGTCGCCATCTACTGTATAAGATAATAATAAATTAACAATAAAAAAAACCGACCATCTTGGACCAATTTTCACCAAACATAGCAGCTAAGAACACTCCCGACTAATTCACCTTTCAAACAAAAAAAAAAAGACAAAATCAAAATTGGTTCACCGATCGGGAGCTACGATGCCACAGACAGACACACATACACAGGCACGTCAAACTTATAACAGCCTGTCATTTTTGCGTCGGGGGTTAAAAATCGCTTAAATCATTAATCTGGTCTTAAGCCTTAGAGGCTTTTACATCATCATAGGTTTCAGTTAAATTTATAACATAACTAGGGTAGCTCGTAGATTATGTTTAACCTAACTTCAGTCTACCGCTTGGTTAAGCTCCAATTAGAATATGGTCCCTGGGGAATTAGGCTGAGAGTTCATCGAGTACATAACTGCCAAAAACATATGTTATAGCATAAAATATATATATTTATATAAGATGGAGACACAGATTTATTTAAGAGTATCCCCAGAGCAATCTACGATGAAACACAAAATTCGTTCTATATATATAGCTTTTCTCAAATATTTATTTTTCAGATTAAAATTTGTCAGATTATACAAACCTGTACTTAACATTTATCGTCTTTCACAAAGATAATTAAACTTTTAAGAAATTATATTATATAATAAAATTTAAGGATAGTACATGTTTAAAAAGGTTCAAAAGTTCAAGAACCTTTCGTGATTGAAATTTGATATATCAGATGCCTTCACATTTCTTTTCGAGGCTTATAAGAAAATCTTCAGTTCAGCTTATTCTATTATTATTGACAGAGCGAGTGCAGAGACGCTGCTTCAAGTCTAATAAAACATGCTTTCCTGTGTCAGTTTGTTGGTATTCCTCTGTAGAGGACTGGATATTTCTGCCTTAGCCTTGCCTTCCAATTTCGATGGTTCTTTTTTTATTTGAAAGGTAGTAACTTTAAGTTAGTCTCATAAGTTTGGTAAAGGTCTGATGAGAATTTTCGGCGTGATGAGCATAATAGCTACTCAAAATGCAGTTTGTGCTCGTGAGGTCTACTGTTCCCAGTAATACTAGTTATTAAAATACAAAAGATGTTAGAATATTATTTGTGGCTCAATCATACCGAATTAGTTAGAATAATTTACTTTTATTAGGAGTTACAATTAGATAAAATATATGAGGACGGTACCGCATTGTGGGATAAATAATTCAAGTTTAACGTTACTTTTACAATAAATTTATTACTGAACTTATCGGCCTTATTTCTAGTTAACTTATTCTTAACTTAAAACCACACACAGATGATACCGTGAGCATATACTAGTTCTTAGATATACATAGTGGTCGACCCTAAAGTCGTAATTCATCCTTAATAGCCTCATAAATAAAACAATATATTATGTAGGTATTTACGGCCAATACAAGCATTCTATGAAAAGATTAAAGTAATTTTACTCTTTATCTTCTTCCGTAGATGCCTAGACTGTGTTATAATTTATCTGCTTTCTAAATGTCATCCAAATTTATCAAATCATTTCAGCATAACAACACACGTAACAAATAAACGTAACAAAAATACACACACACACACACACACACACACACACACACACACACACACACACACACACACACACACACACACACACACAAACTGCCGTATTTATAATAGTAGACCTATTATTAGCGAAATGATTTGATTTACTAATCATAGTGTCTGCATTTAAGCCAGTATTAAGGTGCTTTGTTTTCCTAGTACCTTTTTGGAGTTATCAGATCAACTCGACCGAAAAAATATAACCTTCTAACAAAATATTAACGTAACACAGCAATTATACCCATATTATTTATTTAGGAATGTGAGAGATGAGGGTCAAATCACTCACTTTTATTCCTCGTCCTAATCTTTGACAAGCGTAAAATTTACAGTTCCTGCTTACCATCAGTTAGTAGTAGACAGTAGTAGGTAGTTGGCATATTTGTTTGACTTTTTGTTACAAAATAATATATCAAAAGAATTCAATTTGCTTGATCTACCAAGCTGTGCATAGACATAGTCAATAAATCATCCCTACAAGAGAAATAGTATTTGAAGCAATATTTCACGTTTCTATACATATTATAAAACAAAGTCCCCCACCGCGTCTGTCTGTTCGTCTGAACCGAACGGATTTTCATACGGTTTCCACCAATAGATGGAGTGATTCATCATTCATGAGGAAGGCTTATATAATTCATTAAGGTTTTGTGTAAATTGGCTGAAATACGACGATTAATGGTGAAGATGTCGGAAAAAATCATGTATATGCATGACTGGGAGCTTTATTGGCGTGCGCCGCGTAAACTAATAAGGTTATTAAAACAATGTATTACAGAATTATTCCTCTTAAAAAGATCTTCCTATTAAACTGTAGCAACGCTATGTGCCTTACTTAAGGACACACCAGAGCGAAGTGAGGGTAAGTTACTAGTTAATACATATTATATTATTATGTATTGTATTATGTAGATATGTATTTATGTAAATATCAGTATGTATGTATATACATATTAATGTATGGTATAGTAAGTAGTGTATATTATATGGTATTATATATATTATTTAATTAGCTATTTATTTTTGAGTATCTATATATTATTTATATGACTACGACTGCACGAATTTAGCCTGCTTTATAACACTATTTCTCACTACCATAGGTTGGCTGGAAGAGATCTCTTCTAGAGATAAGTCCAGCTTTGCAAACAAGAAAGAGATAAGTCCACCTTTGCAAACAATAATTATATTTTAATTACTGTATTGATTTTAAAGTTCAAGAAAAATAGTATATATATATATTATACGTACCTAAGAGCCAAGCTATCGGTCCTGTCTTCGCTTGCTATACTCGATCGGGGAGAGTTGCCTAGGCGACTGCTAGCAGACTTGCGCCGTAGTTCATGAGGGTCCGGCTCCTCTTTGTTGATGAAGGAGATGCGGGGGGCATGCGCTCGTAGCCCGCAAACTTTGTTCGCAGACACTCCGCGACATAGCAGCTGGCTTTGAGTGATTTCTGAAACCATATTTTCCTTAAATAATTATGTCATAACTTATTTTATTCTATTATATGTAAAAATGTTACTTAATTAAAAAAAATATAACCAACTTCCAGGCACTAGAATGTAAAAAATAACTAAACGGAGGTTTTCATTTAGAATAGAAACCTAATCAAATATTTTCGAAGTCGGTGCTAGCCGATGCAAAGCAAATCTAATATATTTCAATATGTAAAATACATATTTACCTATAACTATTAGATATTTATATCTCAAAATATTGTAGGCTATATGTATATCCTTTGAAACAAAAAAAAATCCAAATCAGTTCAGTTGTCTTCGAGTAATCGGTGTACATACATTAAAAAAAAAGATTCCGACGAATTGAGAACCTCCTCCTTTTTGGAAATTGGTTAAAAATATTAAATAAGCGTTCTTCTATTTTTTACAGTAAATATTACGGCGTAAGAACATTTATTTTATTTTAGCTGACGTGGCCTACTTACGCATGTAACGTCCATGCTTCGCAACCGTCTATTTGAAACATTTTGACGCTTAGGCGTCGCGTTTTTTTAGTAAAATATAGTGATATTAGAAAGAAGTTATTACTAGTAATAGTAGAAAAAATGTATAGAATTAATAATGAATATTTTTTCATCCGCAAAGCTCCGGATGTAAGATCCAAGAAGAGAGCCTTTAACTTAGCCGCCAAGTCCCACAAAAAGACATTAAAGAAGGCTCGTCTTGACCGAATTACACATTTTGGCGCAAAGCTCTCTGCCCAACCATCTGGCAGCAGAGCTTTTTGGTCCCTTACCAAAGCTGTCGAGACGAACTTCTCTCGGCCCTCACTGCCACCGCTGGTAAAATCTGACGGATCCCTGGCTCATACGGCAAAGGAAAAGGCGACTTTGCTTGCCTCTCTTTTTGCCCAAAATTCGTGTCTAGACTCTGGCAATGCTACTCCACCACATCTACCTCACTGCGGGATCTCAATGCCTGAAATTGCGATTACTAATAAGGAGGTCAAGAGAGTATTGTGTCGTCTAGATGTGAATAAAGCCAGTGGTCCTGATGGTATACCAGCGATAGTCCTTAAAACATGTGCTCCCGAGTTGTCTCCGATACTGACACGTCTGTACCGCCTTTCTCTTAAGACTGGAATAGTGCCTAAATCCTGGAAGCTTGCCAATGTGCAACCAGTGCCCAAGAAAGGAAGCCGTGCTGACCCTGCCAATTATCGTCCGATCTCAATCACCTCCATACTCTGCAAGATTATGGAGCGTGTATTGAACACTCGTCTTATGGCATAGCTAGAACAGAACGATCTCCTCAGTGATCGACAATATGGGTTTCGCCGGAATCGGTCGACTGGGGACCTTCTAGTGTATGCCAACCACACCTTTGGCGAAACTATTGACCGAAGCGGGGAGGCGATTGCCGTCTCCCTCGATGTCTCAAAGGCTTTTGACAGGGTCTGGCACGCTAGCCTTATAAATAAGCTTTCAGCCTATGGCATATCTCCTGGCCTGATCGGCTGGATTAAAGACTTCCTGAGCGACCGATCACTCAGAGTTTGTGGTTGATGGTTGTTCATCACAACCCTTAAAGACCAACTCAGGAGTTCCTCAGGGGTCTGTTCTCTCTGCAACCTTGTTCTTCTGCTGCATATCAACGATCTGCTTATACCCGGTATCTATGGGTACGCAGACGACAGCACTATTGTAGAGAGATACCTGCCGAATCCTCGGGCCAGTAGAGATCAAATTCAGTCCGAAAGAGAGGCCATGGTAGAGCGGTTGAATCTCACACTCAGGGCAGTCTCCACTTGGGGCGATGCCAATCTTGTGAGTTTCAATGCCACCAAAACACAGGCGTGCCTGTTCACCACTAAAAGGAGTCCTTTCACCTTGACTCCTACTTTCCGGAATGTGCCTTTGGAATACACAGAACGTCTGCAGTTGTTAGGGATGGACATCAGCCCCAACATGAACTACGGGCGGTTCATCGAGTCTAAGGCTAATGTAGCTGCGAGGAAAGTTGGCATCCTTGCAAGGTCCGACAGTATTTCACGCCGGGACAGCTTCTTGTTTTATATAAAGCGCAAGTCCGGTCGTGTGTGGAATACTGTAGCCACATATGGGCTGGTGCTGCGAAATGCCATCTGTCAGCCTTCGACTCGATTGAGAGAGGCGTGCTCAAAGGCTTATAGGTGACCCTACGCTGGTAAAAGCTAACCTACAAAGCCTCGATCACCGACGTAGGGTTGCCAGCCTTTGTGTATTCTATAGGTTACATTTCGGAGAGTGTGCGCAGGAACTACATGAATTAATTCCCCCATCCCCTTTCCATCATCGGACAACCCGACGAACGGCTGGTCTCCATCCTTATGTCGTGGACATTCCACCCGTCCGCACGAAGCGTTTTCGCTACGTCATTTATTTACGTACGGCTAAGGATTGGAACAACCTGCCTGCGTCGGTGTTTCCGTCCGATTATAATATGGGTGTCTTCAAGGCAAGAGTGAATAGGTGGCTACTGAATTAGTGCGACTCACCATCTACGACTGCGTTACCACTTACCATCAGGTGGAACGTAGTCAAGCACTAATTCTGAATAGTGTAAAAAAAAAAAAATCACTTAATTAAATATTTAGATAATTTACATAAAATGCTTCGTACATTTTTTAAGAGAAACTAACGCGTATATTTATGCGAACGCATATAATCTATGAATTCGACGCAACGGCCAGCGTTAGGTGACATAGAGAGTGGACTCAGTGTTTTTTGTCAGCCGTCTGCTGAAATCAACAAATCAATCCAATCAATCACTCGCCGGTGTGTGTCTATATCAGCACATTAAGTCGCGTTCGGATATTAATTAGTACGTTTTAATGCAAAAAAAACTTCGTTGGCAAAAAAGAAAAAACAAAAAAAATATTGAACATATCTGCTAAAAGTAAATACTGCTTGCAGATTTCCTTATAAAAAAAATTGGGAACGGGTCTGGATTAAATTATATTAATAAATATATTTCGACCATACAACATTCAAAACATTTCTGAATTTTTATATAAGTTAAATACATTTTATCGGTGCACCACATTAGTACTAGGTTGAAAATTTTATATTACTTGCTTTGAAAGTTGCTGATTTATCGGTTTACGATGTTAATAGTAAAGATAAAAGTATAAATTCATTCTCTAATATATATACATATAATAAAAATGTAACTGATCGCTGTCTGTACATGGAATATATTTGAGAAAAACTAATAATGGGGGTCATCAAAAAGTAATATCAACACAATAGAACCCAAATACAATAATTTTTAGATTTATTGTCTGTTTGTCTGTGCGTTTGTGCGCGCTAATCTAAGAAACGGCTCGAATCGGCGGAAAATCGATTTGGGTGCGATGTTTACACTGTATTGTGGTAAGCTTCACTTAACATTTAATATTTGTTTTATTTCGTTTTATTCAACATTATGTTAATATAATGAAACACCTAGGGACGAATCCGAGCGAAGTGAGGATGAATCGCTATATAAAATAATTTTATAGCCATTCTGTCCTTTCTATACGTTTTGACATACGGTATACTCTAATCTCAATTAATTTTTGCTAAGCTGCTTGGAGACAAAATAAGTTCTTCAGTAAATTGACTTAGTGTCTATGAACATGGATATTACCTATAATGATCACAACTTTACGTGCTCTTCAAGGCACGAGGTATAAGATCATCGATCTCGAATTAGGCTACTATCGCATTTTTTTTCTAATGGGAAATCCAATTACTCTTTTAGACCGACGCGGGACTCGAACCAATTGGTACTTTTCACAGAACTCAACCCACGACTTCCGACATACAAACACATCAGAGTGTTGTCAAAATTATGCTTAACTGCCAATTTGTAGAAATAAGAAGTCGGTACTTTTCATATAGAAAGCTTATACTAATAAAGAAAAAAAACGCAAAGCACAGGTGAAGTGAATTTCGCAATCAAAAAGGAAGCAATATAAAAATTCTTGGTATTTTCTCATTCTTCGACACGAGCATTCGGCAAATATTTGTTGACTGCTCTTAAACAAAACTCCTTTATTGATGGGACTTCTTTGCAGTAATGAAGTAGTTGTTTTCAATAACTTATGTTTTTGTATTCCTTTACTTTAGATATTGGCTACTTTCGTTTGAACACTTTGTTTACAATAAATATTTTTCTTTATATATACTGTTACGTAATAAATTATCATTTTCTTAAGAGGAAGAAAGAAGTCTAACGAAAAAAAAAATCATTGGGACGGGGTCTGGATTATATAAAACAGCAGTATCTAATACCAGAATAAAATTTAACATCTTCATTCGCATATCTGCAAATTATATTTATATTAATATTATTTGATGTCTAAGCTTAAATAAATATATTAATAAAGTCTACACAATGGACTTTTTTTAAAACATATTTGATCTTTAATACGATAGAAAAAGATTCAAAAACTATTGTGTTGCAAGAAAATGCTGGAGGCTGTTCATTAAGTTAATGAGTGAAAATGAAGCGAAGCGCTTCACATTTCGCTATGAACGGCTTGTTCTACGTAGTAAATATCAGGTGCTGTATTACAGTAATTTACTCTATTTTCCAAATGAAACGTAGGACCTAGTCACGGCTATTACAACATATTGGTACAATCAAAGCTTCCAATAACCGACACAACTTTAGTCACACGTTGTGCTAATTATATGATACGAGCAGAATCGATAAAACTATAAAAAAAAATCTAAAAAGGTAGTTTCATACAAACTTTCATCCCCTATTTTACCTCCTTGAATGAAATTTGAAAAATGCTAAAACACGTATTTATTTAATTTATTGAAGAGCATTAATACCAAGCTTCAAGTAATTCTGATCATAAATATTTTTTTTGGTTGTATTATAACGTGTTTTCCCATGGGAATTAGATAATCTTCCGCGGAAAAAGGTACCCTATGTCACTCTTCAGCTCTCCAACTATCTCCAC